GCTGAACTTTTTCAATTTATTTCCAAGCACGCAAAATTCGGTTAATTAATATGTACGGATTTTTTTCGTTCTGTTTTATTGAAAATTAAAAAACAACTCTGAAACCAATACTGATTTCAATACCACCAAAAACCACATCTTGTTCACAATAATAATATTGTATATTTACATAATATCGCCGTCACAGTCGTTTAGATATCCTTTCGAATTCTTAATATTACTTTGCCGCCTGCAGATATATCATTTTGATGCAACGACTGTAATTATTTTACTCTCGTTTCGAATAATTATTATTCTAATGATGATAATAAATGAGAGAAAAAAATTAAATTTTAAATCGAGAACGAGTTTTCCGTGGTTGTATTTTTATGAAAATAAATATAGGATACAGATACCACTGCAAAATTGTTCTTCATAAATATTGGTAAAAATAATATTATTATATTTATTATACAGTGACATGCAGAATACAACCTACATACGTTAAAACCACTATCTACTATTTATTTTTTTAACATTTTAATGTATTAATGAGTCTTACATTATCACAATTTAATTAATTGTATTTCATAAATTCATAATATTGTAAGTCTCCATACATTATGGACTAATGGAAACTTAATAAGTCTATAACATAAGGAATCAAATTTATTAAGTTTTGTATTCGCCCATATAAAACATTCGTTTACACAAAAAAAATATAAAAAAATCGGCTAAATAATGCACAAATGAAAATTTTTTATATTTACACAAATTATATTTTAAGATTTGCTCTCCAATAAATAACTTATTGATTAATTTACCCAAATTAAACTCTCTTTCTCTTCTACGGTGTAATATCGATATATAGTTTTAAATTGTTGATTTTATATACAAACCGTGAACTACACACCTGAGGCGATGAAAGACCGTTCTGAGACATAGTGACAGCTGATGAAAATTAATAACTTGGTAAATAATTTATATCATTTTATGATGGTCTTTCTGCAACTCGTATTATTTATTTATACTATTATGTGATCATTCCATAATGATTTAACTAACGATAGTATGGCACTGTCATATTCATACAAAATAATATTAAAACAACGACATCGGTGATAATCATAACTATGACCTTTACGACCTTGTATGCTTAATTAATTAAAATCCTTACAAAAATAAATGAACCATTTGCCATACTAAATGTTGATTGTTATCATGTATATTATTATTTACATCGATCTCGGAAGCAGTGATTTTTTTTTTGGTTAAATAATATGTTTTTACAGAAGAGTTGACATAAAAAATTTTACACGGTGTTCAGGAAACTTTATGAGGCTCATACTACAAATGCCACGTTACAAAATATTTTGTTTTACAATTCCTTCTATTCCCTTTACTCTCCGAAAAGTAAATAAACAACAATGAAAACATTCAATAAAATGAATTGAGAAAGATGATGATTATTATTGGTTGGGTGACACGTAAAAACTTTGCAGTGGTTTGAGTCCAGACAAAGTCAATATACACTATACTCGTTCCTCGTGTACTATTACATATAATATTTAAGTATGCGTATCGGACTTAAGCGGCAAAGTTGGCCAAAGTCCCGCTTTTAGAATTACTTTCTAAACTTTAATTAATAACTCTGGTCACCATAACCGACACTACTACAACGATCAAACTTTATAATACATAATATTTACCAATATACAGAGCGTCGAATTTCTACCACTAATAATATCTAGGTGGTATGGTAACGGTGAGTAGACGATCTATACATACACACACACACACACACACACACACACATATATATATATAGATTTCAGATAAATCATATTTGGCACGTGGAACGGAGGCGGCGGCGGTGATGCGGCGGGGGTGTTGGACTTCTGGGTAAAAGGGTTTACAATTGGCCGAACATTATAATAAATTTTGGGTTTTAATAAATGCGAGAGAGAGGTGGTGGCGTGAGAGTTATTGGAAGGAGACCAAGAATGGCGCCATATTTTACTAAAGAACGTCAATCGCAGGTGTCGGAGAGCAGGGGTATGCGCGTGTAACAGACGTGCTGGCTTCAATTTGCCTTATAATAATATTTTGCTTTTTTTTTTATTATTATTCTTTTTTTTCCTTATTACAGAACTTGACACTTAATTTTCGTTGGTAGCGCTGGTTTTACAACTTACACTCACATAATATTTCGAATCGTATATACGTTCCTGTGAGCAGCTATTCCACTTTTATGCAATTGACAGCAGCGGCGGCTCAACTAGAGTAATATACCATATATCTGTGAGTGTACACGAACGAGTGTGTTTCAATTTTATACACATTTTTCGAGAAAAATTTAAAGAATTATGCGAAATAATTTAATATAATCTTATTTCTTTATTCACTAGCAAATAACTTCTTTGTCATTATTCATATTAATATAATTTGTGGTTCAGACTCTACTCGAGATCATATTAAAACATAATTAAAACTGTTTCATGTTGTATTATTGAAATAAAATATTCCTATAAAAAATTTAACTTCAAAATCACATAGATTCTCTAACTATGTATTTATAAATATTTTATATACAAAAATATTTTTGTCAGTACTTATAGTATTATACTAAATGATTAATTAAATATGTTCACTAGTTTTTAATCCTCTACATAATAATATATATTTATTCAAATATTAATGTGAATTTAAGGACTATATTTTGAAATAATTAGATTTTTCGTTAAGGAATATCATGTTGTTGTGATTATAATTTTTTTCAAGTGTAAAATACCCTTTTTTTATTGTAAATTGATTTGAAAACAAATGGTATAAAATACTTTATCGCGAATGTTTGTGTTTAGTGTTTACTATGGTTGGTAAATGGGGCTGGTGTTGCTGAACCAGTCATTATTTTGTGAAGGAAGGAGTGATGTGGAAATGTCAAGATAGGTTGTGCAAATTAAAACGACTAATATGAGTATTTAATAATTAATCACATAATTTTATTTATGGATTTTACATGCGGAGGGGATCAATTAAATAATGTCAATGATTTTTTTATGAAATTAGTTGTAATTCAAAAAGTATTAACTGTAGAAACTTGAAATATTATTAATTGTTATTTGTTACCGTATATTTTTCAAAATAATTAGTCTAATTTTAAGTTATTTATACCACCACAATTTTATTCACACTATTCTACTTTACGACAATTGATTTTAAAATATTTTAATAATATTATGACAATAATATATGCGATGTTCTTTGTAAAGATTTATTCAATCTAGATTATTAATCCATAATAACATAAAAATAAATTTTTATAGAAGTTCCATAAATAATTATAAAATACCATTAGAAATAGAAATGTATACAATTATTTCACCCAAAATCGTTTTACGTATACAGTGAAATACCATTAAATTCAAATATTACACCGACATTTCCAATAGCGGATACACTCGAATCCTTTTATTTAATACAGCAAAATAATATCCTTGATTATTTATCAATTTACTTTTAAAGTCGTTTATCATTTTCAATATAATTTGTTATTTTTTATCATTATTTTAATTTATAAGAAAAACCTAATTTTAATAATAATTGAGCAGAGTATGAAATATATATATATATATATATTATTTATATTTTACGCAAATGTACATATATTTTCATTTGCCAAAATTTTACAAGTGCTTAACATCATAAAAGAAAAGAATGATTTTACATCAAAATATTATTGTAACTATATATCCTGGTTAATATTTAATGCTTATTCATGTGTATATGTTTATAATATTAAATTAAAATAAGCTCCCATAAAATATATGATTTCTAAATCAAAAATGAAAATGGAAAATTGTATCTATATAAATAATACACTATGTACGACGATGTATCTAACTTCTAACATATCGAACATATTCGTGAATATTGTTTATCCTTATTTTTATATTTGGACCTTTACATAAATCTTATCATCGCCAATGAATTATTCAAATACTATGATCCTTTTTATTTTAAAGTTTAAGTTCAATAAGTAATAGCCAATAGCCTATGAATTTATTGGTTTAAATAAAAACAATGACAAAAATGAGAAATTAAGTATCCATAGTATTGTAAGTTTAACAATTAAAAGTTTTATTTATATACTCTACAAGTACCTACATTTTTTTCAGGTAGATTAAGTGTTTTAAAAGTTTCGTGTTTAATATATATAAGTATACATCTATAAATGTTTATTATTTATTTATATTTTTTCATATTATATTGAAAACCAAACATATAGATATTAGGCACCTATTATGAAACTTCAAAAAATATAATTTGAAAAGTAGACTGTAATCTCAAAACTATTACGAAAACTTACCGTAAAAACATCGATAATAAAATGATATCATGCACGTTCATTTTTAACAATATTTAACCAATTTTTTTTATTAGACAGAATTCCATTTAACGAAAACAACATCAAAAAATTCATGGAATTCTTAACAAAAGCAAAATTTCTAAATTATTTATATTTACATTAAAATATAATACTCTAGTTATTAGTTATAGCATAAATTACAACTCTCTTTAAGTTTGTTACTCTACTTATATTTATTTTGAAATGTATTCAGATTAACCCATGACGTTGCAGCCTTAATTTAATTATAATGAAAAAAAAAATCTATTCAGAATAATTTTAAAAATATAACAATTCTAATCGATGTTTTTAAATCAAAAATAATTATTATATTACACACGGTGTCGAGATTAAAGTTTGACGATTGACAATTTTACAAATAGCTGAATAGACAGACAGATGTTCAAGTTTTAATGTAAAGCTATATAGTATTACTATCTACTAGGCGTACTGTAAAATGCACCTAACCTATATATTATATTTTAACATATATATGTACTACAGCTGTGTACACCATAACCTTAAAATTATTTTTATATTCTCTATATAAAACTTATAATAATAATACTTGGGGCAGTAACAAAATGTAAGATAAACTTAAAAATATACTTACGAATGTGAATTCTGAATGCGGATTCTTTGTTATTGTTGTTATTTATAACTGTTTCATCTGTGAGAATACCAGAATCCCGTTCAATCGCTTCTTCCTTTATCATTTTTGGTTCCATTAACTGAAAAAATTAACACAATAATTAGTAAATTATTAGGTTTCGAAAAAATATAAAAGTTATATGGCCAAGTCGAATAACTTAAGAAAAAAATATTTGAAACACTTAAAACAGAATATTATGTACGATTTAGTTAATCATTTAATTAATACAAATCATTAATCATTATTAATTGATATTATGGACTCCAACCCACAGGTAAGCTACATTACAATCTAATCAGCTTATACGTACACATTATAAATATACAAAATATACAAATTTTACCTTATTAAATATTTTTGTATTGAGAAAAATTAATGATTTTTTTCTGAATCCAATTTTTCTTTAATTTATTTAAAATGATCATAACTAAAATACTAAAACTTTTATTTAATATGTAATTTTTAAATTTATTTTATTTAATGTTTTACATTGAAAGAGACTGATATTTATGATTTTTCATAAAAAATTGAAAACTTATGCATTTTATATTAAATGAAACATTGAAAAAGAAATGTATAAAATACTTTTTAGAGGTATACTAGGTATATTCTGTAAATTACTGAATATATACATCTATTAAACGATCAAAGCATACTATTATCAAGCTGAAACACAATATTTCAATCATATGAAAATCCAATTAAAGTATACTAATAAAGCATGTCAACCTCAGATAAAATATATTTATTTTTTGTAAATGTTGTTAGATATATTATAATACAATTTCTATAGTAGGTAGATATAATATATATTATGTACGTGTAATGTTAGTATAATATATTTACTGGGTAATTTATTTTATCGAAGAATATTCATTATTTTAAAATATATTAACGCTTCTGACAATATTTTTTTTTCATAATTTCTAGTCAAAAAAAAAAAAAAAAAAAGAAGTATTCTAATATTTTTTAACATTCAAATTTTTAACCATTTTTAACTTTTTTTAAAAGATCATATACATTTTTAATTTCAGTCATGAAATAGAATACTTTTCGGAATATTTGAATATTATTTACCTACATTTTAAGACTTCAGTACTTATAATTCTTAAATTATTTGTCCAAATTTCGATTTTTATATATCAAAATATTCCGAAAAATATTCTGCTTCAAAATATAAAATTTAATGTGTATGTTATCATTAAAAAAAAAAAGTAAAAATATTTAAATATACTATTTTATTTTAAAATTAAAAATTACATAAAATAAATATTTTTAAAAATGTAAATACATTTTGAAATTATGAGTATTGTTTGGTAAAATAATTACCACATATATATTATATAATACTGTATTATAACTATTTACTAGTTATATTTATACAATATACATACATAATATCAGTTATTACATCAAAACAGTTATAAATATATTTGAATAAACATCATATTTCAAAATAATTTATAATAATAATTCATAACAATATTTTTTATTTTAATGTATGATTGATTTTTCTTTTAAATATTAGTAGTACCTATCTTGTAGTAACATACAGCAAATTATTTAAGTATTTGAGGAGTAAGGAAAAAATATTTGATAGTCATCTTAAAAAGATTACAAAAATATATCTATATTAAAGTATCATTAAATTTTATTTTAAAAATTCCCGGAATGTCAAAAATGACCTTTAAAAAATATCTTTGCTAATGGAGCCTGATTTTTTTATAAATACACTTATAATTAGGGTTTTAATTTCAAGGTAGTGATAACCTTGACTATATTGTTTGGAATATAGAAGAAATACTAAATATGTCATAAAAAATATCATTAAATACTGTAGAAAATAGTACGTTAGTAACATTACAAACTGAACCACAATTACAAAGTTTTGTAACTAGTTTTAAATAATTTTGTGTTTCCAATAAAATATTGTAAATAATAATTGATCATATAAATAAAATAGTGTCAAATAATAATAAAAAATAATTCTTTTAACGGTTTTATTTGTGTGATTCAGATTCATGTCAGAAGAGTGATAATAAGATTCTATTTTTGGAAAATAAAATTATAAAATATAAAACGTTCTGAAACTGAAGCATATATTTTGTAAAAGCTATTAAGGATGTTCAAAACGTATAATAATCTTGTTAATGGTATAAATTTAAAAGATTTGATATATTTTATAATAATTAATTATTCATAAACACATAAACTGTAACCATAAAATGCATAAACTAGTGAAATGAACATTGATTTCAAAATCAAGAATTTTTTTTGATTTATGAAAATAAAATCTTTTTGATTCAATTTTTTATACTTATGCAAAATATAAAACACATAATACGACTATAATTTCAAGTAGTTTTATTATTTTTAAACCATTTAAATCGCTTATTTAAATATGTAATCGATATTTCTAGTTACGCATGATTTGAAAAGCACACGATATGACTGTATTGATGAAGTAAAGTACATAGAAATCCCTTACAGATACCTACCCGATTTTTGTTTTTTCATGTGTATTTTTTCTATATTCAACAGATATTATTGAATTCGTTTTAGACTTGAAAGTGTATAATTTACACAATAACAAATACAATAACATATATTATATAAGTGATTCGAAAAATATATCTATTGACGATACTTCACGGGAATTTTTTATCTTTTCATGTATAATTAATTAATATAATTGGTTTGGTATTATTGTTGTCCCACATTTGAAGATAGAAAAATAATTAATAACTAGTTTGTTTTAACGCATTTTTTCGATGAAGTATTTATAATATCTGCAATAGTGGTTATGAGGAAAATCTCAAACATAATCATTGATCTCAATCATATTATAAAATCGCTTAGGATATTACATTTTCTAATATCTAGAGATGTTTAATCTTGTTAGTGTTCAACGGATGTGCTATTATAATTTATATATAATAACTTGTGAGTATGGTGGTGTGAAAATTATCTGAGAGATTTATCGGTAGAACGGTTTGATACAACGGAAAGATTTATGTTTTAGGTATGGTTTTGCTGAAAATTTGGGACAAAGTCCTTGTGGATTTGACAACCTTTAATACTATATGGTTGAGTGATTTTCCATAAATGAAGCGCAAGAAGCTAGAGTATCTTTTGAGCAAAAGTTTAATAGATTGTATCCTTGATGTTTTGGTGGGTAGCTTTACGTGTATTATAATCATATAGTATTGACAATTTTAGAACTGTAGAATTCTATGCTTTTTGTGTAGTTCTTATGTTATTTTAGCTTCTAGAATTCATATTATTTCAAATAACTGTATGGTAGTGGCAGTATTTTTTAATATCGACGAAGAAGAGTGTAAAAGAGCATTTGGTTTAGTTTTGTATAATACGTATAATGGTGATTTAAAGCACAGCAGACTTTTCGATTAATGTTTTTATTTCCTTGCAAAATATAAAAAATTATCGAAAGTCTTAGCAGTTTAATAAATATCTTTAGATTCATTGCGTTAAAAAAAATAAGTCAATGAAAAACCTCGGTTGTATTGCGTCCTCCACGTAGTTATATATCTAACGTGCGCCTGGTGCAATTCGTTCGGTACGCATCATCGTAACACGCGAGTAGCAGTCGTCTACACAATATATATAAATATATATGTTATTATTATTATTATTATTATCATCATCGTCATTACGAATACGACGACGGCGGTAATATCGACCAAAAGCAGCGTGGAAAAAGCTCCTTCGAGACCGCATTTTCTTGTGCCGATGTGTATTATTAGATAAACATTAACCAGCTGTGAGCAACCGCCCCAATTCGGTCGCCGTATTCGTGTGTATATGTGTGTGTATGTGTGAGCTGTCGGCGGCAGTCGGAAATTGTCAGTATGGAAAAAAGGACACATGTTTTCTATCGACCGGCGACTATATACACACAACGGATAGGTCCTCCGCCGCCGCATGCCACCGCCTGCACACTCTTCCACGGCGGATTATTTCACGATGGTTGCGACGGCTTCGCGTATCGGGTCGATACTTTTCAAATCGAACCGATAATAATAAAATCTGTTTAATATAATAATATAATGTGTTATATTCTGATAATGAATAGAATCGAACAAATTGCAATACAACGAAGAGAAATTTATCTTAGGTAACTGAAAAGTACAAACATAGATGAACGTGATGTAAAATTATACTATTTTATATATTATGAATTATGTGTGTATAGTATATATGTGTGTCGATAATATAAAAATTATTAGTATTAAATAATGTATATACCTATTTATATTTATATTTTCAAGGTGATTCTTTTATTGAACAACACTAATTATTTCGAAATCTATTGTGCTTTTGAAAATATTTTTTTACATCATGAAATGGTGGTCACTACATCATTTCCAAACGAAATAAAAAACATTTTTTTTTTATATATTTTTTATCATTATAGTTTTTAATTTATTTTTTTACTTTTATGAATAAAACATACATTATTTTCATATTCAGAATCAGAACAGTTTTTTGAGTATTTTGATTCATAAAAATCGAAATTCAGACGAGTATTTTACGAGTTATAAGTAGGTATTTAAAGTTTTCGTAGCAGTGTAGAATGGTACCACCGCAAAATGGTTGGTCTACTACTTCTCTCACCTAAACTTTAAATATTTATAACTCATAAACTACTCGCCTGAATTTCGATTTTTATGGGTATTTCCGCAAAATGTTGGTCTACTACTTTACTTAACTAAATTTTAAATACTAATAACTCGTAAACTACTCATCTAAACTTCGATTTTTATGTATCAAAATATTCAGAAAAATATTCTGCTTCCTTATATGAAATTAAAAATGTATTTTGTCATTCAAGAAAGTAAGAAAATAAAAAAATTATAACAATAAAAAATATTTAAAAAATGCTGTTTTATTTTGACTGGAAATTATATAAAAAAAATATTATCAAAAATGTGAACAGATTTTGAAATAACGAGTGTTCAATAAAATAATCACCCAGTTTAGTATATATATGAATTAATTCTGGCTCTTCGGGGTTAATATCGGTCGGTAAATCCTTTGTCGTTACACAATTTACCGAAAAACACGTGGTTTGAATGAACGAAAAAAATAACTATACTTATTCTCTATATAACATATTATGTGAAAATTACACGCGCGTATACAAGTCAAAAGATAAATAATTAATATTTATTGTCCACAGAAACGATAACAATGTACCTATAACATATTATAACGCGTAGATATAGAGGACAGAGTTTTATCAGTTTTTATAACATTATAATTATATGTAAGACTCTACTACCAACAACCAAGTTACGTTATAACGTGTATTTATTTTTTTCAACAACAAATAACAATAATGTTCTTACAAAAAACCATAAATTCTTTATCGTAAAAATGCTTATATCTGAATTTAAGCAGACTTCACAGAGATATTATAATTCAATTGTCATTTTTCGGTAGTAATATTTTCCATTTAAAATTTTTTTTTCATATTACATGAAAACAGAGTTATTAAAAAATTGCTGAATAAACATACAAGTAGGTAATCACAATAGTCAATATTAAACTATGTTAAGTAAAATCGTATTTTATGATTAGGTCAAGATTTTATATAACTGACACCTTAAAGCTCAAATTAAATAGAAAACAGTAAAGTTAAATTACATAATATATTGTGTATATTAATCTTATTATACAATGTTTTAAAAATAGTACTTTACATAAATGTGGAAATGTATTCAAAATAAATAAGATTTTATGTATTTGAGGAGGCATATTCAAAGTCTTAAAATTAAATAGCAACAATTTCGAAAAGAAATATTTTTCAGTTTGACCTATAATCGCTAATACCGATGATTAATCGAAAAATAATATTTTGATGTTATTCAAATACAAAAACATGTTGTACAAACAAACAAAAACTTCTAATACAAATATTAAATCATCCTTATTAATTCACCAGCTATACATTTACGACATGTCGGGCGAGCGCGTATAACTTTCCCAACGCCGCGCCACTCGCATCGTGCTGCCACAAACATACATATCATAATATAATGTAAAATGGTATATTATAATATTAAACACACAGTTTAAATAAAATAAGATCGAAGCCTTAATGAATAATATTAATGATTTATGATGTATTATATTATTTATTTGTTTGTGATTGAATTTTATAACTTAAAATGCAACAAGCGTTAAGCAGATAATAAATTTCGTAGTAAAAAATTCGGATGAGTGACTGAGGCGAATCGTAATTGTCTATTTATTAGGGATGGTAATGGTACTATTTTTGATATACCAGTAATCGGTATTCGAGAATAAAAATAACCATAAAATAATATAAAAATTCAAATCCTTCTAAAAAATAATAAATGAGCCCCTAAAATTTGTTTTTGGTAGGTATAACATGTAAACTGGACCTAAGACATTGGATCATTTAATTGGTTTTAAAATACTACAGATGTATAACTTTTTATTTTATCAATATTTTAAGATATTTTAGATGATATAAAAAAAAAATTATGGCCTATACTTATTATTATAAGTTACTATCTATATAAGAGTATTATTAACTATTAAAAAAAATGTATTATTATAAGAGTATGATTTTAGTAGTACCTACTCATAATTATTAAAGTTGACATGGGGATAAAAACAAATTTGTTACCAAAAAAAAATTAATTCTTCAATATTCATTATTTTTTCTCGGAGTCTAATCTATTTCAAGAATATTGGGCAAGAATTTTAAATTTCCGTGGCCTTTCCCTTTGCTGACCGTTAATTATACTACTCATGCCATGGTTCATTAATTATTTTAGTTATTACACCGAAAATATCATGCAATGGTAACGTCTGTAAATATATATTACCAGAAATATCGTACCAACCATGTTACCAACTCATGAGAGAAACAACAATATTTAGCATTTCCATTAGACCATAGAATACATTTTATTTTTTTTAAATGTAATTATTATTTTTAATTAGAATTTAAATTGAGAAATACTATTCTACTAAAAAAACTATAATTAATTATCATTATTATTTACATATTTTATAGTTTAAAATTGATTAATTTTAATAAATTTAAAAAAAATAAATAGTTAATAAAACTTTAAATAAATAAAAACGGATTAGTGAAATTAATTATATTCAATTAGTATAAATTAATTTTGTTTAGCTTTATTTTTATTAGTTATATAATATATTTTTACTTTTTATTATATTTTATCAACCAATATGAGACAAATATAATGAAATATATTTTTGAATTTTAAATTATAATTAATATAAATTTAAATCATCGGTTAAATATAGATATATTTATACAACAATGGTTTTAGATTCACCGAAATAACCACATTTCGATATTATCATCAAAAACATCATACTAAGTACCGACGATAAAAAATATAAAATACCGGTATCAACATCTAAAATATTACTAAACTTAATATTAATACATAAATGTAATTAAAAATAATGAGCTGTGTAAACGATAAACCCATAAATTTATAAAATGAATACCAGCTCATCGTAGTAGAGTCAATAAAGATCAAGATTTGATTAAAATTTAATTTCTGCTGTTGATATTTTCAAATATAATTTATAGTCTGTACATAGATATAAGCAATGTCATTATTCTTTACTAAAAGAATATAAATTAATAAACATTGTACTATATCAAGGCCAATCCTAGTACAATCAATTTATTATATTAAATGGATAGTCGGCAAGCAAATATTACCTATAATCCTTTTATAATCATAAACCTAAGCTAACAATTTAAGTGATTTAACACTTTAGATTATTTAAACCATAGACAATGAGTATAGGTAGTAAATTTGGTGATAATAAGGGAGAATTTAAATGAAATGCTTAAGTAGTGTACACAATAATATTATGCGCAACTTCGTCGTCACGATAATACAAGCAACAATTGCGCGCAGTGCTTCCTAAAAATAAGGTTTTAAACATAATAGATAGAAAAATAATATCGACATGTTAACAAAGTTAATGTATTTAGGAGATAAGTTATTTGTATGCTCGGTTTCACTGTATTGGCTCGACTGTAGAAGATAAAAACAGTGTCAGATAAACCGATGCAAACAGTACTTTTCTCTAGGGCCCTCGATAATATGAATATAAAAGTATTAAATAAAGGCAATTTGTTATAAAAATAATAGTTAGAATGTGCTTAGATTTTACTTAGGCTTATAACAGTTAAAATTAGGATTCATCATAAATTTGATATACTGATACTATGGGTATAATATTGTTTATTATACTTTTTCAGCAACTTTCATACAAATTACAATTTTGAAAAATAGTTATGGTTTACATAATACGTACGTAGAACAATAAAAGCATATTTATATTTTCTAAAATTTCGAAGGTGGGTGACTGAGAGGACTGGGTACCCCTGATATACATAAACGAATAGTGATCGAACGATGACTTCGAAATGCCGACTACAGGTGGAATGGAAATGAACAATAAAAAATAAAAATAAAATACGTAAAATAGATCTCACCTGCCAGCGTGCGTTGCTGCAATTATTATCCATCGCGAACGAATCGAACCTTTGAAAACCGCTGGCCCTCATAGTGTCCCGATGGTTTGATACATAAAATTATCAATTGATATTAACGCTGTACCTATGCGATATTACGATAATATTATATGAATATACCCTAAGCGTATGTCCTATATCAAAAATGTGAGATTTTATGACAGTGACGGTCGGCGGACGGACTTCAACTGCAGTTAGTAACGGAAACAAAAACTATGATAGTGACTGTTCTTATATTTTTGATGTGCGTAAAAAGACCTCACTGACTCAGTTGAACTTACCGTCCCTATCATGACACAGGTACGCGGCTGCGAGTTTGATCAATTGGCGCATTTGTATACCGCGAGCCAGCAGCAGCACGTGCTGCGTTCGTTTCTTCCACTCTTCCCTCCCTCCACCGACATCACTCCGCCACCGCACGACCGTCGTCCGACACTTGTTACAATAACATCGCACAGACACCTGTTCAAACGCCTTGCACGTTAATATATTTTGGCGCTGTGTACAGCGAAACACGCGAATCCACCATAAAACTCAATTACCCACCCACCCACCCACGTACCTACCTACCCATCAACGGATTTATGCGGTAGGATCTTAATAAACGAGTACACATCGCCGTCGATGTCTTCGTGGTAACTATATAGGTATAATATCCTCTCCATATCTACATACCCACGTGTAAAATTAAGATGATAACAATAATAATAATAATAATAATAATAATAATAATATTACTATGATTACGTTATATGGTTTAGAAGACTTACGAGTGTCGAGACTGAACGAGACTCTTATAGCGATGTGTATTGTTGCTGTGGTCCGAGATCGTGGTGACGGCGTTGGCGGCGGTGAAAGTGCTCGTAACTACCGGCGTACACGGTGTCGGGGCGCGTAATGCCGCCACGACTGCTGTCCGTCCACGGCGGCGGCGACCCGCGGGACGCTGTCGCGCACACCGCATATATACGGACGATAAGTTTTGCCGCACGACGCGCGCCGACGCGGACGGGACGTGTATAATACACCACGCGTATATTATTTTATATTAACAGCGGCGAAATAATTTTCATTTCTCAGCCTTTCCAATCCTCCCCCATCCCCCCTCAGTCATTCATCTCTCTCGCCCACTTACGCTCGCTCACTCTCACCCTCTCTCATTCTCTCGAAAACGGCAGCCGGTCCAGACGTAGACACGCAGTGTATATATATATATATATTATATATATATAAAATATGTACCTCGTTATATAGTATATAATATCAGTATATACCTCTGCCATTGACATTGTTAATTAAAACCGCGGGATTTTATCAAAACTACCACTACTACCACTACCGTGATAAACGAGTGTATGTGTGTGTACACAACCCAACCACTGCAGCCTGCCGAGCCACTGATATACGCATATTGTGTACGACGTATACGATGGGAAGTATATAGCGCGCGGCGCTTGGAAAAGCGCTTATCACAGACGTCACATGCACGATCAAGCCCGTTCTACCCGCCGGCCGATGAATGTCGTCACATCGTAGTTGTCTGTATATAATAATAATTATTATTATTTGTGTGTACGGTATGCACGTTATAATATTATTATTAATGCTGCATAGTGTCCAGCTATATAATTTTATGAATACAATATTATTTGACCCGACGACGTTTAGGGTAGGTACAGATAAAACCTATAGCTTTGAACGAGCAATAGCGCAAATAGTGATATCACAAGCTTTGCGCTTGAGGGGCAGATAATATACAATACAGAATTCAATTTCAAAAAAAAAAAAATTTTTTAATAATTGCGTTTTATTTTTCATCATTTATATTAATATATACGTATATAATGGGTTATTTTAGTATTTAAATAATTACTCGTATACCTATTACCTACTATGTATACCCTATAAGTACCCCAAACGAATATCTATTTAGTCAAAACATAATAATTATGCACTTAATTAAAGTACATAATAATCATCTTGCCTAGTTATTTTAGAAATAAAGTGGTCTAAACATACTGAGTATGTGATCATTAATTGATCCATTATTTCAACAACATTTATTTTTATAAATACATCAATTATAGATACTCTAATATTTATTACATATTATTTACCTAACTGAAATTAAATCAACTTGTTTCACTTATAATACTTTGGCATATAATTTAATATGGATATGTATGGTTTTACCAAATTAAATTTTGAAATTTAAAATAATCTAAATATTATATAATTATTTAACTTCTGGTTTAGACCTATGCCATCTTTATATTACATAAATATTTTTTTTTTAATTAATTTTTTATTACACAATCTGTAAATATATTTTTACAATAATTGTATGTGTTGTAAGATATTACTAATTTAATATAATATGCTGGAACGAAAAAACCTTCCAATGAAGGCATTTCGGTGTGGATGACGTAGATATTAAAATTAAATATAAACATTATATAGATAATAGGTAAAATAAATTGAGCATTAAAATCAATAAATTGGATCTATGTAACTAATATAATGTTGTAACGTGCATAACTAAGTACCTATAATACTACTCATCTTCGTTAATATTCAACTACAGGAATAATTCAAATTTAATTTAAATTTTTCCTTGTTATATTGTCCATACATATAAAAATTATATGTAATGATTACTAATTAAATTAATCGTAGGAAACTATTTTTTTATACTTTCTCATATAAGAAAAACAATCATAAAGTGGACAACTTTTCTCTTGATGAACGCTAAAATTTACCATTACGAATTTCACAACCATCCAATTTGTATTAACTTTATACTTCATTTTTATTTTTACAACAATTTTTTGAAAATCCTATATCATATTAATTTTCACACACAAACTAGTAATTAAACGTTATTATTTTATTACCATGTAAATATTTTCACAAAATATCTTTAAATTTGTTAAATATTTTATTACAAATTAATTTTTATTATTTCATTATAAATTTAGTTATTATATTATATATATATTAGATATTATATTAATTTAACATATATATAATATACAATTAGAAATGACGCACTATGTACATGGAAAAGATAAAAATGTTTAAAGATGCTCCTCTTGTAAGATAAAATAATACCAATAATATTAATTCATTTATTTATTGATTTTTGAATAAACATCTGATAGGCTTAAGTATAGAACTTATAAATTTGTAATATATTTAACAGAATTTTGTATTACAAAAATAATCTAAAAAGTAAAATAGTATTACCTATATAAATTTGATACATAGAATAAACTATAAACATAATAAGTAAAATTCAATTACTAATATTTACTATTTAGATATACTAGTGGTTTAAATAATGCCGTTTTAGATATGACAGATTATTAAAAAAGAAATCAAAATTATATATATTTTCTAATGTTAGGAGTCTATCAAGCGAATTATTTTGTTCATAGACTATGCGGTGAGTTTTAATATGCAATATTGGACATGAAAGAGTGTTGTATTGTGGTACGTGAAACGAAATACATTTAAGAAGTGGAGGGCAAGAAGTACTACCATTAAATAATTTATACAAGAATGATATATCTAATATTTTTACATTAATAATAGAATAAAGTAAACAAATTAAAAAATATAATATAATAAATTGTGCCATGATATTTGTATAGCTAGATAATTAAAAATATTACACAATGTCAAGTTTAAGCGTAACTACGTGGATTTCATGAAAAATTTTTCACTTAGGGAATTTTTTTTAAAGTTAAATAAACGGTATCCATTTCATAAAATGGCTAACTATTCGAGAAAAAGCCACTTGGCTACTGTCTACGACACATATTATGAACATAAAATAAATAGTTGTTTGTATAGTCTTTCCGTTATTATTTATTACGATTGAATACAATTATGTTTTATATACGAAGGTTTGCTATAATAACTAATAAGTATTATGTCACCACTTAACCACATTTTCATATGTGATTACCTAATTCAGTAAATAGATACAGATGCGTGTGAGTGTGAGTCAAAATCAATTTATTAAATGTAACGATTGTTATATAGTATCGACATTTTAATGTAGGTATGTTGTCTTATGTATGATATACGTATTTTAAATTCTGATAGGAACGTCGAACGTAAAAAATATCGATTTTACAGTAAAAAGTTTTTTTTTTTTTTTTATCGAAATACGCTTCATTATATTTGGATAAATAATGTTTTTTTTTAAATTTCACGTTGTTTAAAAGTGTATTGTAATTTTAAAGAAATACAATAACAGTGAAATTTCAGTATTTGCGGTATAGTCTAAAGAAAACCTGACCATTCATACGTTTTTGTGTCAGAAATAAAATACTCAATGGGGTCTTTACTTTGTAACAAAGTTCTAATATTTAAACATTAAATAACGTAAAGAAATACAATGGTAAATATTTTAAATAAAATAAATATTAAATAATGATTAATAGTAATAGTTAATTAAACTTAACAGTAAATAGTTATAATGAGAAATCAAAAATATGTTAATAAATTAATCAGCTGATTAACTTAGCCGATACAAGCAAATTTAATATAATGTAATAAAAATTACCAAATATACAAAAAATAATTTAAAAAAAGACAAAAATCTTAATTTTTAATTACTTTAAATTTTACTATTAAATATTAATATTATTCACGATAAAAATATTTTAAAGTAATTTCAGGCACATATTTCTTGTAATTAATATAAAACATTTTGTATCATTTCTAACATTGCCAAAATATCAAATAAACTATTCAGTTGTTTGTTAATAATAATTAACTATAATTTAACATTTACAAAGGATTATAATAATAATAGTACATGTTAAATACTTAAATACCAAACTAGTAAAAATGAAACTATACATGTGTTATACTAAAAATAGAGGGTTGTTTTCCAGCTCAAATAATTTATAGAGCTTTGTCTAACTAGATTTTACATATTGACAGTAATAATCTTTTATACAGAAAATCGTGTCCATCCATTACTTATTTGAATTTTCAAATTTAAGTGTTTTCTTATGCGATTTAAAAATATACTTTAATGTCAGGAGAAGTTATATAGTAGATAATGCTTTTTTGGTTTGGTTGAAAAAAATATTATTACAGAATTTTTATTTTACCGAAAGTATTTTTTAATAAGAAATAAAAATAGATAAAACATAATTTTATGAAATTCGTTAAAATAATGCAATTCTTCATACTTGTAATTAAATAAATTGGAATTTCCAATAATTCCAATAAACATATTAAAATTTCAATTATTACGTCATATTGTTTTACTCGTATCACATGGCACACTAAAATATTGAAAATATTTTAATATATGTATACATTAAGTAAATATAAAAATAAATTTAAAATAATCAAAAAATCTGAGTGTCGGGGTGTCAAAAAGTTTACAACCACTAAATATATAATAGTAGTGATTACTCACAAAATCATTATGATAATTAATAATGGTTTAAGATAGTTACAAGAATATTATACATTTATACACGTAATATTGTCATAATACACTACAAAGTACAAACTGTTTATATTAAAATAAATGTATCATTACATTCGATTGCTATCAAACTTTATGATCTACATTTTATAGATACCTGTATAAAATATACCTCATTAAATAGTTTACGATTTGGATTCGAAAAAAAGAAATAGTATGCTATTCGCATAATTATTATGTTATATTAATTCCAACAACTAATTAAATATATATATATATTTCTTTATGTATAAAAATTAAGCACACAACGGGTTTGCGTGTAATGTGCTCTAAAACTACACAACTTATTTTGATTTTGATTCTGCTCATGTGTGTGATTTGGTCAAACTTAAAATATAGGATAGTTCATATCTTGATCAAAGATATATAAGAAAAAAAGAAAGAGAAGAGAAAATTAACTGGCTTGATTTTG